TATTGGTACCAGGGATCGAACTCACGACCGCCTGCTGGCAAAGCAGGTGCTTATGCCGCTGAGCTAAATCCCCAACCCTTTAGCATAGATTTTTAAAAACCAACAGCCTGACCTCCTCTCTGGCTTCTTCACTCTCAGTAATGTCCTATGGCTCTTGGGGTCCCCATCTAGAACCTTCCTCCCATCCAGTTTACCAGCCCTGGCCTTGCCTGAACCAGCCACAACCCCTGGACCTCATAGTCTCTGCTGGGAGATGGATGTCAAGGGAACTGGGCCCCATCACCACCTGTGCTGGCCCCACATCCAACCACCTGGCCATGTGCACCGCATATCCTGGGACTAGAACTGGGTGGCATTTCTGGAAGCCCATGTGCTTCACATTACTAAAGGCTCCAGGGCAGCCTGTGCACCTCAACACCCCGGTATCTCCTGCTACTTATTTTCATTGGTGGATTTGACGCTGTATCCCCTCACCACCCCAGAGGACTCCTGGGCTCGGATCTGTTTCTCCTGGTTTTCAGTGCTTGGCCTTAGTCATCAAAGAGGTGGGAATGACTTGTTGGTCGAAGTAAAAAGAGATGAATCTGCTCTCACCAAGCTTCATGAAGCTTGAAGAGTGCGGATGGAGGGCAAGTTTATCCCAGGTTTTCCGCCTCTGCAAACTCCCCAACCTGCCTGACTGGGACCTTACACGGCCCTTGTGGGAAACATACGCCACTGCCATTATTAAGTGTGTGGCTATACCTAGTTGGCTGGTTAGGACAGTGATGAAAGCAGAGGCACAGGGCGAGATAATTCAGTGTTGGAACAGCATCATCTCGACGCAAAAGACAGCATGGCCAGGGAACTCAGACCTTGTGCTTCCAAGGTCACACGATTTCATTCTTCTAATAGGTCTCGCCTGCAGTCAGGCTCCATTTAGTCTATGTTTTTTTTTTTTTTGTACCGGGATGGAACTCATGACCTCATACTTGCCAGGCAGGCACTTGTGCCACTGAGCTATATCTCCAGCCCCCCCCATTTTAGTCTTGTTTTCAGTGGGCCACACAAGAATGACACCATCATAGCCATAGGAGAGACAGGCAGGGGTGTCTTTCCTGGAAGACCAAAGGCAGCACGGGGCAGGTGGACATACGGTGGTGCGAGGGGCTGTTCTCTTAGTAGAGGACACAGACTCTGCCTCCCCGTGGGGCCTGAAGGGCTCCTCAGTGCTCCTGCAGTGCTGGATTGCTGGTCTCTGGACCTCATTTTGAATCACCATGCTCTAGATGGCAAAAGCCACAGGGAACTCTGCACAGGACACAGCTCTGGGTCCAGGGCCTGGGGCCCTAGTCCTAAAACCACCCCGTGTCAAAGTCAGAAGAGAATACGAGTCAGTGGGGATGTGGCTGAGAAGGCGAAACCTCAATCTAATCATGAAGAAACATCTGACAAACACAAAATGGGGAACTTTCATGTAAAGGAAAAAGCAGGGGGCGGGGAAGGAAGTCTGCATGACAATCTCAAAACTAACGATGTCATAAGTGACAAAGACAGACTATGCATATATTCCAAAGGAAGGGAGGCAGAAGGCGCGCCTGCTACATGGAATACCTGGCCCTTGGCAGGATCCTTCCCTGGAGCGGGGAGGTGTGAGCGAGGAACTTATTCAACCGAGAGGCAATCTGATAGCTGAGATAAAAAGCAATGCACACCTCTGACACAGACGGCTCCTGGGTGGGTGTGCACCGGTGTGCAGCCTTAGTGCTTATGGAGATTCCATGACACACTCAAGAAGGTGTCCACGGACAAACAGCCCAGAGTATGTAAGCGCTCTGTCCTTTATACGATTCAGAAAAGAATTACACAGAGAGAGACAGAGAGGGTGGCCGGGGAAAGAGTAACAGTTCACAATAGTACGCACGTGTGCCTACGTCAGCGCACTGCTTCTATTCTTGGGTGTGTTTGAAGTTTGAAGTTATTTCCAAGGGAAAGACTTTTTAAAAATAGCAGTAGAACTATTTATTTCAGACAAAAACCCCATGCAGAGCCCGTGTGTAGAACAGGTCCAGCAAGGCTGGTGCTGGGCCCTGCCATCTGGTGTTTTTTTAGTAGCCCCGAGAGCCCTGTGAAACCCAGTTGGGGAGCCAGTGCACATCAGGGAAGGTGGAGTGAGGCGGTGGTTGCTGTACCCCGACCCCTGAGCACTGACACACACTGGGGTCTCCTCACCGGAGCCTCCAGAGGAGTTCCCAGCTTCATTATGGATGGGGACACTGAGCCGGGGGCAGGAGGACTCGATATCCCGTGCAGCTCAGGGATGTCCTGCGGGCGTGATGTGCACGGTAGGGGAGCCCTGTGGTCTGTTGTCCAGGGCCATGCAAGGAAGCTAAGGTTCAAACCCAGGCCCACACGTCAAAGTGGCTGAGGCTCTGGGGTGTGTGTGCATGTGTGTGTCTCCAATCTGCCAGCGGCTGAGAATAAACCGAGCATCACTGGACTCCCAGTCCAGTGCCCAGCCAGTGGTGGAAGGCACTCATCACAGTCCCTTGGTGAGAAGCCATTGGTTTCTAGTGGGAGACCTTCACGCAGAGCCCTGACCTTGGCCTCGTAATCACAGCTCAGAATTGCTGGCTGGATGATCTCTAAGTCAGCAGAGATTACAGTTCCCCTTCTCCACTCTGTCCCCCATCTGCTGTCCCCCACTTGCTGTCCCCAGCTTGCCGGTTCCACTGACTGCCCTTCTTTACCTTCCTCTCCTCTCAAAATTAGCCACTCCCTCCCCCATTCCTGCTCTGGGTAACTTTTTAGTAGTCAGATCCAGGGATAGCAAAGGTCACATGGTTGGAACCTCACCCACATGACTGGGGTTTTAAAAGAATTCCAGGAAGCCAGAGGCTTCTGGGAAAACAGAGCTTGCTGAGAAGGGAACTGTTCTTTCCTAGCCAAGCTACGGGAGCATGGTGAGGGCACTGGTGCACCCTTGGCCCTGACTCTGCCTACAGCCCTTACAGCTCTGCAGGACTTGGGGGAAATGATTCCTTCAAAGACCCAAACAGGGAAGGGGACACCTGTCATTAGGAAGTGCGGCTGCCAGGCAACCTGCCAACTGCAGGCTCCTCTAGGTTTCAAGAGGCCCAAAGGTGGGGAACACTGTGTCCTTTAACTGGGACGAAGCAGACTGTGCACTAGGTCATCTGAACTGCCCAGCAGCTAGGGGGTGGAGCTGGGATGGAAACGTGGGTCTGCTCGCCTATGTACCTCTGGGCGAGGCTGCCCCCAGTGAAGGGCTCTGTCTCCTTTCTGCCTCAACCCAGTTTCTCTGATGTTCCTCTGCCCATCCTGCTGCAGACCAGAACTGCTCGCTCAGTCTCAGAAGGCTCCTGGCTTGTTCCTGCTAGTGCTTTGCTCAGGCAGGCCAGGTTGCCCAGGGCTCCAGACCCTAGGGCTGCCCACACCCATCTCTTTGAGAGCTCTGGGTTCTGCAGGCTGCCTGCTAACCCTGCCTTATTTCTGTGGGTATTTTTTAAAGGTGAGTACTTGGTTGTGCTTGCATTCTTGGCCTGTTCACTGGCTTGCAGGCTGCATAAGGCACCTGATGTCCAAATCTATCCTCCACCCTGTGAAGAGAAAGCCTTTGTGACCCCACATGTCTACTATCGCCTTTTGTTTCTGCACATTTCCAACATGATGAGAAAGAGTCCATGAGTATTTCTAAGTGTGGCACTGCCTTTGGGAAATAACATTCATTGTCATCATGGGACACAAATTAGTTTAGCACAAAAAAAAGTGACTCTGACCTGGCACTGGGCCTGTACCCAGGGAAGCTCTTCTAGAAGGAGAGAGCCTATCTTGGGCCACATCCAAAACTGACATCCCTCTCTGTTGGTCTATGGCCCACGGGCTTGCCTTTCTCCAAGGGAGGAGAGAACCCTGTTCCTCAGGCAGCCACAGCTGCACCTGCAAGCCGAAGCGTTGAAGCCAACATTATACACAGGCTGTTTCCATATTCTCAGTGACTGAGCACAGCTTCTGGGCCATGGAGGTCTTAGCTTCCACTCTCTGTAAAGCAGCTTCCACAGATGAGGACATTGGTCTTAATGGGCTAAGGAAATCCTTCAAGGTCATACAAACCGAGGTTCTGAATCCAGTCTGTATTGCCATAGAGGTGAGAATCTTTTGAGTTTTTTTTTGGTACTGGGGACTGAACTCATAACCTCGTGCTTGCCATGCAGGTGCTTATACCTGCTGAGCTATGTCCTCAGCCTTAGAGGTGAGAATCTCCCCATTCTTCATTACTTCAGGTTGCCCACTGTGCCTGGGCATCCAGCAGACAGGTGGGGTGTGCATCACGGTGTGGTGATGCCTATTCTGACCCACTGGGAGGAATGCTGGTGTCCCTAGCACTCCTCTCCCTATGTCTATACCCCTTGCAGTGCAACTTTGCATGAGCAAGGGTTCCTCTCTCCAAATCAGGGCTCATCTTATGACAGAACAAACAATGACATGTACCAGCAACAGCCTGAAAGTTCAGGCCAGGACCGAGCAGGCTTGGCAGACTGCGCTTGATCTCCTGGCCCCAGCGATGGGCCTGGGCACAAGCCCCCATGACCCTGATACAGGACCAAGAGCTGTGGTCCAGGAGCCTCGGCACAAGCCACTGCCAGTCGCCACCTGACAGACAAATGTGGCCAATTCTCAACAGCCAGTTCCAGCTGGCTACAGCTGACTAGACCACGGAACCCACTCGAGGTCAGCACAGCAGGCTGAAATGGATCCACTCCCAAACCCACACGCCCAAGGACTAACTTTCAGTACTGAAGAACGTGACCTTATTTGGAAATCGGGTCACCACACATGTAGGGGGCCATGAGGTCATCCTGGACAAGGGAAAGCCCCAACCCTGTTATGACCACTGTTCTCATTAAAAAAGGAGAAATTTGGATGCAGACCGCCCTGTGCAGACCAGGGTTTAGCAGGAACAAAGGCAGCTGGCCACCCAGGGGGAGAGCCCCACCTACCTGGGTTGCCGAGCGCCATGGAGTCGTAGATGAGCTTGCAGGTCTTGAGCAGGATGGAGATCTTCTTCTCGGGGGAGTAGGCCTTGTGCATGCTGGCCAGCTTCTGCAAGATCTTCTCCAGGATGGGCACCTCGGGCACACTGGTGGTCACGCCCAGATCGGTGGTGGTAGTGGCCAGGACCACCTGCTGGTTCACCTTGAGCTGCTGCAGGGAGCCATCCTTGCTGTGGATCTCGTGCAGGCTAGAGTCGATGGCTTCCTTCAGGGGCTTCAGGACGCACTTGTACAGGGCTGACTCCACGATGGCTTCTGCAGGTGGGCAGAGCACAAGATGAGGGCATCAGTGGCAGGGGTCCTGCCATGCGGCCCTGCTGCCCAGCAGCACACCCTCCCCTGTCCTGGTCCCTGTAGGCCTCACTCAGCCTCAGCATGTCTGACACAGGGATTAAATCCAGTAGAACCACACTTGGGACAAACAGACACAGGAGCCCCAGTGACTCAAGTAACTGGACACTGCATGCTATGCTGTTCACAGGGCCTGGCACAGGGTGAGCCTCAGGGCTGCTCACCAATGCAGTGCACACTAGTTACTCTGGAGCTCTGCAGTGTACAACCTGGCCAGCTGTATGCCGAGGGCCTGGATGCCCTGTAAATGATGTGTGGATTTATTCTTGACCTCTCTTTGAAGACCCTTGTCTATTTGACTCAGCTCAAAAATATACCACACCCCAGATCTCATCACTTCCATGGCTACTGCCCTGACCTGGGCTGGTCAGGCTGCCCCACAGTCTCTTGCCCAGCTTAGACCAGGCGCCTCTTGCCTCTGTCACAGCATGTTTGAATATGACAGTCCCTTGCCCCGATGGTCCTGTCTTGGAGCCAGCCTGCCACGCACAGAAATCTCTACCACCATGAGCCAAATAAACCTTCCTTGAGCTTCCCTGGTACCAGGGAAAACTAAGCAGTATACAGCACAATCAAATCAAAGCCCAAGTGTTCCCTGTGGTCCGTGAGGCTTGCTGTGGTTGGCCCGCAACCTTTTTCACTGGAGCTCTGCATGCTCCCTGTGCTCAGGCCTCTCCTCCTCTCTGCCAGCTTGTTCCTTCTCCAGGGCCTTTGCACCTGCCTCTGCTTGCCCTTTGCCATTGAAATATCTTCTGATCCAAGCAGCAGTCCTGCTCAACTTGGGGAGGGAGCATCAGTGAACTCTGATCACAATAACTCTATAGGGTGTGACTGAAAATATGACAGATGTTTAAATTTTTAAAAACATTATTACAATAAAAGACACATTGCCATGAATTCCCATAAGTGCTCCCCCTCATTTTGAACACACTTATCTTATTATTCTTGCCATCTTCTGAAGCAGTTTTGGAAGTCCTCCTTCATGAGGGCTTTGGTTATACTGTCATGGCTGCCTCAAGGTCCTGAATCAATTTAAAATGTATCCCTTTCACAGTCATTTTGACTTTGGGGAAGAGCTAGAAGTTGCACAGTCCTGGTGAATCTGGTAGGTGACAGACTGTTATGTGTCCACGAGCCTGCCCGTCTGTCGGATGGCATGTGGCCGCAGCGCTTACTCTTATTTTGGACCACGTCTCATAAAGACATTCATGAAAGAGCACTTCCAGAGTTGCTTCAGAAAGCAGCAGGACAATGGGATAACTTACACCCACAGCAATGGGTCTTTTACGGTACATGGTCCCCCTGCCAATGGAAATACCTAGGCTCTGACAGGAGGCCAAACAAGGACCTGGAGTCGCATCTGCCTGACACCACAGTGATGATCAGCTGCTTCTGGTGACAGTAGGAAAACACTTCCAGGAAGTTGTTTTTAGCCCATCACATCTCCAGGAGGGATGCGGCTACTCCCCCAGCAGGGTCAGTCCCAGTGTTGCCCTATGGAAGATGCCTGGGCTGCCCTGTCCCTGGGGAGACTTGTGCTGAGTCTTGTGGCTGATCCTCAGTAGAGACCCAGACAAGCTTTCCCTGCATGGGATTGCTCTTGTCTGGCTTTGGCAGTCAGTCCTGGCTGTCCTGGGTCCCGTCTTGCCATCTCCCTCATCCCCTCCATCAGGAGAACACAGAGAGCACAGACTGGGGAGGGACTTTCTTTCCCGCTGCCCCGGGCTCCTCTGTGACCCTGACTGCGTTTCTTCCCATGGAAGGGCCTATTTTCCACTCTGCATAAGGAGAGGGCTGTGCTGGTCCTCAGGCTCTCACATCAGAGAGCCCTGGCTTCCTAGGGGCACCACTTCTCCAGACTGCCCTCTGTGGCCACAGACACATGCCAGGACTGTGTCTCAATGGCTCCTTGTGCCGTTTACCCTAATGCCAAAGGGAAGGTCAGTGCCTTATGTGACTTAGGTTCCCCAGATCCCCCTGGGCACAGGCAGGTCCTGGGTGGGGACAGAGCAGCAGAGCATCTGCTCTTGGACATGCCACTGTGTGGTCTGAACGTGCTCTACTGCTACCTCTGTGTCCTCATGGCCAGGTTACCGAGCCCCGAGCCACGGCTTCCCGGATATAGCAGTGACCCAGCTGCTCATAAGGCTGAGGTGTGCAGGTCTGGAACGCAGCTAGTGCGTCCTGCTGATGCCACTCAGTCTTGTTCCCACCTGCTGCCTGCAGCTGCAGCCCTGCCCTTCTTTGGTGTCCCCTTCTCTCTGCCTAGAAGCCTCCCTACCCCACACTTAGCCCAGAGCCAGCTCTGGGGACACTACGCCTCGTCATGCCTGGCAGACTCCACGTCTGGTACCTGTTGGCATCTGGGTACCTGAGACAGAGTTGGCCTTTGCAGATGCCCTGTGGTGAGTCCCTGTCCAACCAGCTGGCCACCGCAGGGCGCTCAGATCACTCCTGCTGGTTTTGGCAGTGGTCTGGCTGGTGCTAACTTCCTTTGTCTTGCCCAGGGCTGGACCACTCATCCCTGACTCATCTCCCGCGCTGTCCCCTCTTCTGTCCCTTCACGCACATTCAGAGGCCCACTGGTCTCCAGGCCAGATCCGCGGCCTTGAGAGAGCAGTCTCTGATCCTCTCACCTCTATGCCTGTGTCCACACTGCTTTCTCCCACCAGGGGAGCCCAGCCCGCCTCTCTGTACAGCTCAGCCCCTCCGGCTTCCTCTGAGTCTCCCTGCGCCTCGTGCCCTTCCGCAACCTCCATGTCTGCACTGTCCTCAGATCAGCGCTGATCTCACCAGACTCGTGGCTCCTTTTGTGCTGACAGTTCCCAGATGTCTATCTGCGGCCTATATCACACCCCAGAACCACAGGCTCAGATCTCAGCAGCTTACTCGACGTGCCCACTGGAGTGTCTGGTAAGTAGCTCCAAGGACACTTATCCAAATCTGAGCCTAGGACTTTCCCCCAAGGCCCACCTCAGGAAGGAACAGCTGCATCTCTTAGGGACCCAACTCTCAGCTCATATCCACAGTCCACCAGTCTTGCACCCCACCTTCAGGACAGACCGGAATCCCAGCTCCTTGCCCCCCCCCTGCCCTTGCTGACCCTTCACTGTACGACCGGATTGGGGACAGTGGCTTCGGAGCAGGTTTCACTCATCTTCACAGGCAGAGTGACCTCAGGCACCTGTGAGACATCACTGCTGGCTTGACCCTGTCGCAGCAGGAAAGCCAAGTCCCCAGGGTGGCCTGCAGGTCCTAGTGACCCACCTCCCCAGGTGTCTCCCGACCTCACTGCCCGTCGCGCTCTGCACTGTGTCACTTCACTAGATGCCTTTCCTCAGGCTCCTGCTGGCTGCCCGTCACCCTTCCCAGAGGTAAGAGGGACTTGTGCAGGTTTTACTCTCCTCTGTTTTCCCAGAATGAAACTGTGTCTGGCAGAGTTGGGCAGCCCAGAACTCTGTCAACCGTCTGCTCACCATGGGACTTAGCATCCCCCAGTGAGAGCTCCGTGGGAGCAAGGCTGCTCTCCCTTGGCCCCCAGTTGTGAAATAAATCCCTGGGCTGCTGTGGGTGACCCTTGCCCGAGCTAGCCCCGAGTTTCCCTCCTGGAAACCCCCCACTTGTCAGGCCCTGTGTACACATGGCAGCCAGGGAGGCAGCTGTTGGCCTCTGACCTCAGTGTCACCTCCCAAGCCCACACCTACAGTGCCCATCGGTCCTGTGGCCTGGAGACACTATGCTCCCAGTGGCCAGCTGGGAGCACTCATGGCTCTTTCTGGAAGGAACACTTACAATGAATTGACTATGTTGCAGAGTCCCAAATGTCCCTTCCTGTCCCCAGCACTGACCTTTAATTACTGGCAGGGGAAGAGAGAGCTGGGGGACCCCAAGAAGGTGCCAAGGAACTGTTACCAACTACTTAATCCATCAGCAGCTCCACGTTTTAACAAGTGCTTTAGCCACATAGCAGTGATGTGTGTGTGTGTGTGTTGGGGCGGGGGACTGGGTTTGAGCTCTGGGGCATTCTATCACTGATCTGCACACCACTATACCATTTTATTTTTTATTTTGAGACAGGTTCTCACTAAGTTGCCCAGGCTGGCCTTGAACTTGAGATCCTTTCACTTAACCTCCCGAGTAACTGGGATTACAGGTATGAATCACCCTGTCCGGTTGATTCATTTACATAGGTGTGTAGTTGATTGCAATGTACAATATAGATGTCATTGTGAGTCAAACTCAGAAAGGCTCGCTAGTTACTGGGTTAGAGGCCGGCTAGGATGGGAAGGTTGGGGGCTGATTGAGAGGTGGTCAGAGTAGAGAGCTGGCTTGGGTCAGTTCCCTGGAAGAGGATCTGGGTGCAAGTGGTTTATCAAGGAAGAGAAGGAAGGAATTGGGAAGCAGAGTGCAACAAGGATGGGCTTGAGCAGGCTGCGTGCTGCGGAGGGTGGGAGAGGGGGGTGTAGGTAACAGCTCCTGTGTGGCAGAGGAGCCGCCTGTGCAGCAGCTAGAGAGGGGCACACACTGAGAAGGGGTGAGAGTGTGTAACCAACTGTGGCGTGCATAGGGGATCCCGAGTCTACGCTCCCATCCTTCCCTCCTCGCCCCGAACAGGTACTGACCGAGCTCCTCCTCTGTGTGCAAGGCAGGGTCCACCAGGACCTTGAGTTCGGTGCTCTGCAGCAAGTAGCTCTTGAGCTGGGTCATCATGGTGCGGATCTCCTGCAGCATTTCCGTGCTGGAGGTCTGGCGCGCCATCATCTCCAGGCTGTACACCTTATAGTCCTGCACCAGGCTGCCAAAGTACGAGCCCTTGTCCTGCGCCAGCTCCACCACCTTCTTGTACAGCTTGCGGTTGTTGGAGAGGAAGGCGTGGAAGACGTTGGTAAAGCTGGCAAAGCTCAGCCGGTGGCGTGCTTTGTCCAAGATCATGGATGGCTTCTTCTTCACGCTGGGGCTGCTGAAATCCAGCTCCTCCTCTGCACTGCTGGTTGAGTAGGAGTCCTGGTCCACAGCTGAGGAGGGCACTCCCAGGCTGTCTGGAAGGGAAGCCAGGGAGCCCTTGAACTCTGCAGAGCTCTGGCTACAGGCGTTAGCCTGGGCATGGAGCTGTGAAGTTCCAGACTGCAGGGTAGCGCCCTGGCCTTCTCTGGGCGCACTGGGCGTGGGTTTCTCAGAGGTCACCTCCTTTGTGGGGGACTTGACACTCTCCAGGGAACTTGGGAGGATAGAGGCCAACTGCCTGGAGATCCGTTTCTTCCTGGGGGGTGGGATTGGGGGTTGTCTGGCCTTCCTGGTAGGGTCTGGCATGCTGCCCAGATCACTGGTTTTGGTCTCTGCTTCCTGGGCTTGTCCTGTGGTACTCTGAGGATTGTCTTTAGGGCTTTCCGAGGTCCCTTCTGGAGGCAGGGTGAGCTGGGTCGTCCTGGAAAGGCCCAGCTGGTTCCTGTCAGCCACCACCCCCATACTCTGGTCTTCCAGGGACAGCCTCTCAGAGACACGTCTCCTGGGAGGCACGGCTGGAAGGCTCTTCTTCGTGGGCATTGGCGGGGTGGGGGTTGGTTGCGGGGGGGTGGGGGCCGTTCCCAGTTTTATCTCTTGTTCCCTGAAGGTGCCCAGTCCTGCAGTGGGGTGTGGGAGCCTCTCGCAAGCTGTCATGGGTGGCTGGCTTGGGTGGTCTGGGGGTCCTGGGGCATGGGATGGGAGGTGGGGGGCAAATACTGGGGGGGTGCTGGGCAAAGGACAAGCAGGAGCAGGGAGCACAGGGGTTCGGGGGGAGGGCACTGGGGGCGGGGGCGGTGGGCGGCGAGGGGCCCACCTGGAGGTGGGTGAGGTAGGAGCGTCCGAGGTGGCAGCCTCAGGGCACGAGAGGCAGCTGCCAGGAGGCGACAGGTCAGCAGGCAGGGCGCTGCCACAGTCCTCGATGAAAACAGGATTCACAAACCACAGGCGGTCGTTTCCTATGGACAGCTCAATTTCGCAGGAACAGTTTGCGTAACGGGCTGTGGACCTGAGGCTGGAGGCTACGGGCCCCCCAGGAGCTGGGTCTTTTGGAGGCTCTGGTGGGCAGCCACCTCCTCTTGGGGGGTTCAGCGAGGAGTCCCAGAAGCCTGTGGGGAGCAGAGAGGGAGAGGTCGTCAGTCCTCAGGGTGGGTGGCATGTGCAGGAGGCAGCCTGGGAGGCTGCTCAGACCTTGCTTCTCTGGGGAGAGTTGTTTTCCCCTCTTGGGCTGCTAAGCCTCTCCCACGACTTCCTGCCTGTCTCGGAGGGGAAGCCCCAAACCTTCCTCCTCAGCAGGTAGGTGGGGCTGCTCTGGAAATGTGACAGCCCACCACGGGGGGCGCCAGTGACCTAGGGTTGGGGCGACAACAAGGGCTGTCCCGAGTCAAACAAGCCGCAGGAGTCGTGTGTGGGAATGGCATGGGGTGGGAAGGAGGGACTGGAGGCCTAGAGCCCCTGTAGCTGCCCAGCCGGGAGCACAAGATAGGGTGCTCTACTCCTCTAGCCCTCAATCATCTCAAAAATGAGGTCTCACATCAGAGGGCTCAGAGGAGGGAACACAATTATATCAGAGAAGGTGCTTTGACCTGTTTTGTCCACTGCAGTCATTACCTGCAGGAAAAACAAACCTATGGTCTGTGACCAGCAGCACCAGAACTGAGTGTCACCTCGGTGCCTGACTATTGCAAACCAACTTGATTCTGGCGGGTCTGGATGTTTGGGTCCAGCACTGAGATCTGCTGACCACTTCTCATGACCCAGTCCATGGCTGCAGCCACCAAGGCAGGTTGGGTTCAGGAATTCTTGGTCTCTGGGTACCGCATCCCATCAAGTAACCATAAAGGCTCAGGACCCCCCGCCCTCCCAAAAAAGACACATGGATGTGACATCTTGGGAATAGTTTCAGCTGACTCACACGCCACTTGAGCAGGTCCTATTCACTGTAAGTTTAATACTGGGAAGGAAATTAACCAGGAAGAGCAGAATTCCTCCTGAATGGTGGGGCCAACCTCCCACCCAGGACTGCTGGGAGGGACTCGTCAGCAAGTAATATCAGGAGCATTTGAAAAGTTTTGGCTGGGTGGCACCCTGTGGACCACTGCTCTGCATGGCCCACCTCACTGTTCCCAGATCCTACGCTTCACTCCCATTTTGCAGTTGAAAAGGAGACCCAGGGATAGATACCAAAGCCTTCACTTGAGATCACATTGCTAGTAAGTGAGGGGGTTGGAATCTGAGTGGGGTCACACTTGTCCTAGGGTTCCCGTGTTCAACCGCTGTGTTGTGTGGCCTTCCTTTGCAGGAACTTGCAACACTTCCCATCTGGGGTGCTCTCCGGGCATCAGTGATGATGATGGCTTGACCCAGAGTGGGGATGTGGTAAAAACACAACAGGCTCTTGATGTTGAAACAAAGGAGGCTTCACAGGATGGGGGGAGGATTGCAGAGCCTGTGCTGGCTCTGAGATAGGGACACTCGCAAGGATGTGGGCCTTGGCCCCCCTCATGGTCAGAGGGTCACAAACCCAAAGAAGGTAAGTGGGGTGTAATCCCAGGACTGAGAGTTAGCAGTGACTCATCCAGCTATGTGCACCCCTTAACGGGAAGGAGAGTAGATTCACCATTCACCCGGCCCTGGCAGAGATTTTGCCTAGATCATCAAGGGCTGTGGGCTCTGGCCTGTGAAAATCTTTTTCTGGAATCATCTACTGACTCTTCAGCCCACTCACTCTGTCTGTTGCTCTCCACTTCCTCCACTGCTCTGCCTTTACATCCTGGCTAAAGCTGTTCCCCTGCTTGGAATTTTTCCCACTTTCTTCACCTGCAATGGCTTACTCATCTTTCACACATGTTACCTGTTTAGTACAGGCTTAATGACACATCCAGGTCTCACCGTTGTTCTTCCGTGTCCCCCAGCTCTGGTGTACACTCTGACTCTAGTGACCAGCATTGGGAGAGCAATGTTCTGCTGTTGTCTGGCTCTCTTTACCAGGCTCTGTCCTTCCAGAAGACAGCACCAATGCCTCCTCCATCTGTGGATCTCTAGATCCCAAGACAGTGCTCGGTACAGATGAGTCCACCACCAGCCCGGGTGGATTAGCTCAGCCAGAGGAGAGGCAGGGCTCTGGGAGAAGGGACACAGGTTAGCTCCTACTTCAAGCTGGGCATGGCCCGTGCTTGGGGAGGTGAGGAGCCAGGACAGTGAGAGCAAGCCAAAGGAGGGCTAAGGAGCTCCATAAGCGAATGCCCTGCATGTGGACAGCCGCTCCAAGACAGCAGGGCCAGGCCACACAGCACCTTTTCCACCACTCACTTGGATTTCAGCAGGAGCGGAGCAGACCCTGAGCTTCAGGGAAATGTGCTCAGTGCCCAGGATGCTGCGCCGCTCCTCAAGATAGGCCAGGTGGCAGGGGACAGTCCTCCAGGTCAGTGCTGCTCTGAGGGGAGGGGAAGCTGGGGGCTGAGGTGCTGCAACATGGGTCTGGGGCCTTGCTGGGGAACACACTGGCAGTACACACAAAAAAAAAAAGAAAAAGGAAGTGGGTAACTTTCTCTGCAGTCTGCAGAGACCAAGGCCAGAGAAGCGGAACGCTGTGCCATGCAATCCTAGTGGTTGGCAAAGCTGTGCGTTCCAGTGCCTAGTGGCACCATGCCAAGACTTGTCTCAGCTGCTAAGGTTCCCGTAAGAAGGTCCTGTCCTAGCTGGGTGTGGCAGCAGGAGGCCGGGGCAGGAGGTGGAGAGTTTGACCCCTGCACGAGATCCTGTATCAGAATAAAAAATGGGCAGGGAAATTGCTCAGTGTGGAGGTTCTGTGTTTAATCCTCGATGCCTCAGTACCACACACACCAAAGAAACAGGAGGAGAAGGAGGAGGGAGAGGAGATGGAAAGGAAGAGAATGAGGAAGAAGAGGAGGCGGAGGAGGGTGGCATGTTCCCCTGCTGCCTCTGTGCTGCCCTCCGAATGGAGCAGTCACTTTTCTGGCCCTGCCTTGTGTCTACAGGGGACACATCTCGCTAGACAGCAGGGCCAGTCCGAACAGCACATTTTCCACCAGGAGTAGGTGTCTACTCCTAGGACACTCGGAGGGCCTGGCTAGGCCAGGCACTGGCTGTTTGCCTGAGAGCAAATTAAATTTTTACCCTTGGCATCCCTGGGCAAGCAGCAGCAGAATGGGGACAGCAAAGCACTTCAGATGCCACGACAACAGCTCGAAAGTCCAGTTACTACAGGGAATGCATATTTCTGGGCCATCCCAAAGATGGACTGTTAGTCATTCAAATTCACATTTCAGTGAATCTTTAATAACTAGAGGAATTCTCATTGTATGATGTAAAGGAAAAAGCAAGCCACATGCAGACATGGAACAGCTAGAGAACATATGCCTTTTTTCCAACATGTTTTTAAACTATTACACGTATATGTACTGCAGATGGGTTTGAGGACCCACTGCCAATAACCCTTATTCTCTAAGTTCCATTTGCATGAAAGATTAGTGCTGAATACTCCCTACGTTAGCTCTGTGGCCCCAAGGAATGTGAAATTCCTGAAGTTCAAGATTACACCTTATATAGCCTGCCCTGTGGGATGCTGGCTTGTCCAAGTCCAGATTTGGACTTGCTTACACCGGCTCAGGAACAGACATTCCGAGGCATCACACGGTGTCCCACTGCCAAAGAACAGCTCTGTTTCAGCCATACTATTCGTGTCTAGACAGCAGGGTTCATTCCCCTCCAAAAAAAATATGAGTAGGGTGCCAGGGAAATAAAGTTGTTGGCACTAAGGATAAGAAACACATATGCCTCAAAAACTTATTATAACTGCAAGATTTCCAGGGGGGATGCAAATCCAGTACATCCCTTAACTAAACACTCCTTGACTCTGGGTGTGAGGGGAAAAAAAAACTGAAAGCCACAAGCATTTTCCAGCAAAACAAAACCAAAAGTGAAGAGAAAAACTGCATTTCTGCAGCAGTTGAGGGGTCATGCGTGGTTTTCATCCTCCTCCTTTTCTGATCTTGTCAGTTAGAAACAAATAAACATACCAAATCTACTGGGCTTTTATAAAAGCAAACAAATGATAAAAAAAAACACACACACACACACAGAAGCACGCGCAGGGGAGGATGCAGAGGGTAGGGCTCTCTGTCCTCCCTCTCCCAACTCCAAATCCAGGCTTCTGCAGGACATGGCCACCATGCTGTCCTCCCCTGGACGGGAGGGGGAGGGGAAAGCCGAGGAACAAGGAGGAGCGAGCAGAGGTGGCTGAGGGTCAGGTGGCAGGGAGTACAAAGGGCACTGAGTCCAACCTCAGAAAGCTCCAAATGTGAGTGCATCTTCTTTTATGTCCTAATGCAGAAAGCCATTCCTTACTGATTGCTTTCTTGCCTAACGACTGCACTGAAATATCATTCACATAATTCATCCATTAAGAAAACACACCAGCGGCTTTTAGTATATTCACAGAGTTCTGCAACTGTCATGACAATCAATTTTACAGCATTTTAATCACCCCCGAGGGATCCTATTCATCAGCAGGGAACCCTATGCCCAGGGCCCCTGGGACTCATCAACGTGCCTCTGTCTCTGGATTTGTTGTTCTGAACCTGTTACCCAGACGAAGCCAGACATGTGCCTGGTGGTCTGGCTTCTTTCTCCGAGAGGCACACTTCCCAGGTTCATCCTCGCTGAAATGAGGTGTCAGAGCCTTGTTTCTGCTTCTGGCTGAGTAAGATCTTTAGATTCTGTGAGTTTCCAAGGCCTCACATGGAAATGGGTTTGGGGAAGAGAAATGAAATAGTGTCTGTGTACACCTAAACTGTGAATTTGCCTCTTAGTGTCCTTTTGGTTTTCCCGGAAATACTGACAATGCCAGAGGAGCATCTGATGAGGACCCTTCTCCATTTCTCAGCTCAAGGCTAGCAAGTGCTCACCAAATGCCCCCGGTGAACCTGTGTGGGCCACAGGGGCCAGGTGGGGCTGGCTGGAGTCAGGGAGCAGGCGTGAGAGGAGGTGGGGGGCTGGCGTGTGCATGCAGCAGCTGGCTGCTGCCCCCAAACCCAGGAGACCTTTCACCTGCATTTCCCAGAGTCCTTCTTTTCATCCGGGCAGTTTGAGTGGGTTTGGACCCTCTGCCAGGAGAGACCTTTGCCTAGTAAAATGCATGAGGGGCTGGGCACAGTGGGTGTGATGCCTAGGGCTCTGGCAGATGCCACCGTTTTCATATTTATTGCTACTTTTGCAGGTGAAGACTGTGAGGTCCACTCCTGCACCGGCCGGGGGAGGTCAGGCCTCTGGCCTCTGAGAGGATGTGCTTCCTTGTCCCCGGTCTCCATCCATAGGGGGATGGACTGGAAATTCAACCTTTCCTGGGGTGCGGGGGACAAAATCAATCTGGTGACCCTGACTTTATGTCCTGAGAACTTGAGGACACTAAGTCTGAACAGAACCCTCCAGCTCCTAAGCTGCCCTATACTCAGATTTCACATAAGTTCGCTTCTCGAGGGAGTGTGTGTCCACAGGTGAGTCTGAATTGCCCTTGGCTTCCCAGGTGACCTAGCCCCTCTCCACAACCACGCTGTACCTGAGGTCGAGCCCAGCCAGGGTGCAATTCTGCCATTCCAGGCAGGAAAGAAGGTCCCCCAGGAGGAGCAGCTTGTTTCAGGCCCACTGTGCTCCTAGGTCATGGAGTAATCAGGCTTCTCCAGTGAAAGAAAGCTGCAGGGAGCCTGGGCAGGGACTGCCAGGGACACTTGCCTGGACCCCACGTGGCATATGGGAAGCAGCGGCCAACACTGATGGAGGCCTCACATCTCTGCTGTCCTACCAACTTGGCCTCCAAAGTAGCCATTATTGCAAAAACAACAGAGAAGGTCATGAAGTCTCACACAGAGCAATGGAGAATCAGTGAGCAGAGGCAGGTGCCCTCAGTGCAAACCCCAGCTTTGTTCCTTCCTATCTGGGGCACTTGGGACAAGGTTGTGGCTTGGCTAAAACTTGCATTGCTATCTTAAAAATGTATATTCTGTCTTTAGATTATGCAAGGGTTATTATACAAGCCAGTGCTTTGCAGGGGTCAAAAAGCATCAGCCATGTCATTTGAGACCCCAGGAAGTTGCCACCTGTCCTACCTCTAAGCTGCCAGGAGGGTAAAAGTCCAACAATTAAAATATCAGTGTGGGGAGGGTTGGTGTATGAACTCCAGTGTGGAGGACCACCGAGACGGCGCCCCTGAGAGGAGACAATTAGGCTCCACTTTGGTTCACCGTTGCTCTACTCCGATGGACTGATACTCACAGAGCTGGCTAGGGAAATGCTCTGCCTCTTCCATGCGGGGGAAGCAATGCAAAGCAAAGTGACTGGTCTGAGATGCCCCGGCCGACAGCTCCCTCCTAGGCCGAGGGAGCCACGCTGTTGAGCCATGCTGTCGGCTGTCCGCTGGGATGCAGCTTCGAGAAAGAAGCAGTGAGCATCCAGGGCAGATCAGGCCAACATCAGAGCTCAGGCAGCTGACCCAAAACACAAGATACTTCCTCAAACTGTGTTATGCAGGTTCCTCCAAAATTAGAGGCTGCCTGTTAACAGGAATCCGTATTCTTTCCGCATACCTCTCTGCACATTGCAGAGGTGCCTTCGCCCCTCCTACCTAGCCCAGCTGGCAGAATTCCCATAGTTTTTGCCATTCTTACACTCACTCTACCCCGAGCCACCCCCTCTTCATGAACTATTAAAACTGGGATTGGCCGTGGGTCATGGCCTTTGTCCTAGTTGGCTTTCGTTGGTTCCCCATAACTGCAGATACGTTCATCTTTCTTCTCACCATGGACTGCATTGGAAGTGGTAGATTGGAATTTACTCGTGAGACTTCTAATAACTTTTCCCTAAGATTACGATTTATAAACTCTGGACTGCAACCAGGTTCAGGGTTGCGGGGGACGAGGGAAGCCTTATACTTCAGTGCTTATTTTCAATGTCAAATGAGGTTTATAAACTTCGTACATTAGCCTAGCAGAATCTGGATAAAGCTTTCAGTGTGAGATGCGGCAGCTGCTGAAGCTAAACAGTCAGGGTTCAAACCCCAGCTCTGCCACTGGACATGTTGCAGCCGTTTGTCTGCCTGACGGTGTGGATTATATCGACAGCCCCTACTCTACAGGGTTAAGGCTGGGATGAGTCAACACAGCTAGAGAGGTTAGGAAATAGTTTGATGCTCACTGGATGTCAACTCCAAGGATCTGAACCCTGCTATTTCCTGGCCCCTAACCACCAACTGTCTTTGGCATCTCTTGCAGTGCTGTTCAGAAGTCCCACTAAGCTGTGATTGGAGACAGCAGCCTGGCCTAGGAGCTAGGAAGTTGTCCCTAGCCCCACATCTGCCCCTGACTTCCCGTGTCCTGGCTCTGCCCCTCGGACATCACCTTTTCTGCTCCCTGTGGTGGTGTAGGCATGTGTCAGCCACAAGTGTCAAAGTGTCTTAAAGATTTAGGGATGACCTGCTTTGTTCATAAACATGACCTGGCTGGGGTACTGAGGTTCTGAGCCTCTGCCTAGGCACTGAAGAGGCTGCCAAAGTGGCTGCCCTTGATCACTTGTAGTAAACTTTCTGTCCCCAGCATACAGGTGACTAATGAGTTCCTCAGCAGCTATGGGCTTGGAGATCTTGGTTTTCCCGGGGGCAGCATAGTGAGGCCCTAGTCTAGCTCAGCACTGGCCAATTCCCTCTCTTTACAGCCTGCATTGTGGCCCATGTGTGAGGAGAGCCCAAAACATCTGAGCTCTGCTTGTATTTCTTTGGAAGGCTCTAGATCACAAGTGGCCAGTCCCTCTTCCTGCTCCTTTTCATCTTCCCTCCGAGTTCCTCAAAGCTCCAAGGTGAAAGGGGCGGTGAGCTTAGGGCCAGTTGGTGGGCAGGGGCAGGCCAAGGGGGTGAGGGGCCGGCTCCAGCTCCAGATCATCATCACATCCACGCTGCTGTTCCTTCTGATGTGGACAGGGCTGGAGACCGGGGCTGTGACAGACTGGGAGGACTCTGCCACCACTTGAAAGGGCTCTGTTCTTGGCCCATCGTTGCCTAGAGCCTAATATATTCAGCCTCTATGGTCCCAAGTGGGCCACCACCCTGTGTGACAAACAGGCCGTGCATCAGGCCCTCCTGGGCAGCTGGCCGGAAGCAACAGATCTCCCTGCAATGGCGTTCAGCAGCCTGGGCTGAGAGCGTGTGCTCCCATAGCTGCGGGGACTGAGGGTCCAGCTTGGTCTCAGCACAAGGGGCCTCCCTCTGCCCTTAGTCCCATCTGCTCCCATAGAGAGGACTTACCCAGGCCCAGGTTGGAGATGGTCTCGAGGTCTGTGAAGCTGCTGGCCTCAAGGATGGCCTGGGGCAGCCGCAGCGTGAAGGGCAGTAAGTCTCTGTGAAGACACAAGGGGCACAGGTCAGGCCTGGGGAGGGGGCTGAGGTGCACCGCCTCTGTACCCAAACCTGCAGCTGGTAAGGAAGAACCCTGTGTCCCGAGGCTTTGGGGTCTGCTCAACTCTGGAAATGTCCCTGGAGCCAAGGCCAGGGCTGAGGCTGAGAGAGTTCCATGCAGATCAGGGACAGAGTGCTGGGAGGCCTCCGGGAGTGGGGCAGGGTCTCGATTCTGTCTGCTTTCCTGGCCTGCTGGGACAGGTGCTATTTAGGGTGAGGCGAGTGACCCACGCTTCCTGCCCTCTGACCTTGCTGCTCCTGGCACCCCTGGCGAGCGCACAGCCTCTGGCTCCAGCTGTCTCCTGGGGTCTGAAAGGGGACCTGTTCAGGGCTCCATCCAAAGATCCTCAGAAGCAGTTCAGACAGATGGGGAAACTTAGGTCCAGAGAAGGAAAGCAGCATGTCCCAGCCACAAGAACAGCCTGCATTGCGGCCCATGTGTGAGGAGAGCCCACAACATCTGAGCTCTGTTTGTATTTCTTTGGAAGAGTGCAGAGTGCCCCAGGCCTCCTGCCTTCCAGCCCAGCCTGCTCATGGGGGTAGCAGGGGAAGGCAGTCCCAATTCTGTCTTGTGCAGGCATTCAAAGCCTGCTAACCACCCACGCTGCCCTCTGAGCAATATTTTCACCTCAATGAAAATGGGAATCAATGAGAATGGAGAGGACCACGACAGCCACCTCGATAGGTGGCAGCTGCTGTGGTGACCTGTTCTACCTCGCTGGTTCATGCCCTGTCTACCTTGCCCACACCTTGATTCCAAGGACTAAAATCCCATCCATCCTGGGGCCATCACCCCGCAACCTTTCACTCTTCCTCTCCCTGTCGCCCAGGCTGGGTGCCCTGTGAGCCCTTGGCAGGGCAGGGCATTGTTCCCCAGCACCAGCCATGTGTGCAGTTCACACCACGGAGACCCAGAGTGTTTGCTAAATGAACCCATCAAGACTCGGGAACGAAAGCAGAGACTGCCCGTGCACCTGCCTGAGGACTGCACTTTCACGAGGGACGAAGAGCAGGATGAGGTGGGGCTGCACAAGGTTCTGGGCCCTTCTGTGAAGACCTGGCCGTGGCCTTGGCTCCTCTACTATGAAACAAGTCAGGTTGCCAGCTGACCTTTGGGTTACCTGTGTGGTTCTCCTGTGAACCCGAGGCCACCTGGGGCCCCATTTTGGGCAGGCTTTCAGAGCTCCGTGGCCATCGCAGGACCAGGTCTTCTACCACCACCTCATCTCTTATTTGGAAGGGTGACAAAATTCACCCCTGAGCTGCCTCAGTTTATCGATGTGGCTGTCTGGCCTGTGGGCGGGGTTTCCTATGGGTTCCAGTCACCAGCAAAGTGACTATTACAATAGCCAGCAGAGGTCACTCATCTCATCTGCTGCCGGCCCCTGCCGCCAACACAATCTGTTGACACCCCATCCCTCAGTCCTTGAGGAACTTGAGGCAGCTGCAGATCACATCCAGCCTCGCAGCCCAGCACCCAAGGCCCTTCAGTCTGGTCCCTGCTGTACCTCTTCAGTATACTCCCCCAGATCCTTCCCCAGCTTGGTGGGTCTCCCCACTGCCACCCCAGTTCACTAGCTGTCCCACAGCGGATGTGCCTTGCTCATCTCTGAGCAGGAACAGCCACCTCATCCCCTCTACCCACATCTGCTTAGATTCATCCCACCCCATGGACTTCTTTCTCTTGGCCTGGTGTGCAAAGGTTTTAACCATCTCTGCTTCTCCACGCAGCTCCAGTCTGACACTCGATCCAGGGGCCACCACTTTCCACGCCAAGAACAGCACGTATGAGATGTGAGTGTCTGTTGACATCTACTGCAGGGTAGGCCTTCTGTCAGATGATGGTGTTAGTACATCACAGCAACCCCGCAGGAAGACTTTAATACCTTTTCCACACTGGGTGACACAGAGGCTCAGAGAAGCAAAGAGACTTGCTCAAGACCATCCAGCCAAGACAAGAGCTTTAATCAGGAAACCAGGGTCATAAATGCTATTTTTTTAAAAAAGAGAAATGGAACTACCATGTACTGAATTTTATCAATCAAGTACTAAGAGCTTTACCTATGCTACTGCACCTAACCTGACCCTATGATGACCCTCTGATGTTGGCACTACCACTGTCTCCATTGTTTAAAGTGATAGATTTTTTGAAGACATTAGTGTTGTGTGTGGTGTTGGGGATGGGATCCAGGGCCTAATACAAGCTAGGCAAGTGCTCTACCACTGAGTTACATACGTCTCAGTCCTACTATTTTTGTTTGTTTGTTTGTTTTTGTTTTTGAGACAGGGTCTTGCTGTGTAGCCCAGGCTGGTCTTAAACTCATGGCAATCCTGTTGCCTAGGATTATACGCATGTGCCACCACGCTTGGCTAGAATTTTTAAATTAGAAAAGAAATATGTACTCACTGTAACAGAGTTAATACTGAAATGTTTAAAATAAAACATGCAGGTCACCACCCTTTTGGAGTCCCACTGTCCTATCAGGCAGGGCAAGTGGCCTCCCTGGCCCTTCTCTTCCCTGGACATATGTGCACACACACCACTTATGAAAGCAAAGACAGTGCTTTGTTACATCCATTTCTCTGCAGCCTGCTTTCTTCACATGACGGTTGAGCTGTGGCCAGAGAACATTTCACAAGCCTGTGAGTGCAAACTGGCCTCTTTCCTTTCTATGCAGCAAAGTATTCCAAATGGCAACTGTCATTTTTGTCTCTGTCCCTGTCTTTCTTTCTCTTGTGGTACTGGGGATTGAACCCAAGCTTTCACACTGAGCTATTATTATTTTTATTTTGAAACAGGGTCTTGTTATGTCACTAACTTGCCCAGGCTGGGCTTAAACTTATTTTTCTTCTTCTGATGGATATTAAGCCTTTCTCTTCCCTTCCCTTCCCTTCCCTTCCCTTCCCTTCCCTTCCCTTCCCTTCCCTCCTTCTCTCTCTCTCTCTCTCTCTCTCTCTCTCTCTCTCTCTCTCTTTCCTTTCTTTCATGCTAGCACTTACAGAATTTACTCAGGGATTGGTATAGGTCAGCTTCTTAAATGTTCTCAGCAGTTCCATGGTACAGGTAATTTCCCTAAACACATTTCAGAGCTGAGAGAACTGAGGCACAGAGAGACTTCATGGCTTCCTCCATCCCACAGCTTGTAGGTGATGATGCATAACTTGAATGCAACCGACTGTTCCCAGAGTTATGCTGTTAACCCCTGGACTTGGTTCAATTTTAGAAAAAAAAATTATTTCCAAATTGCCACTATACTAAACAATGCTGCAAAGAAGAAGCTTATCACATCAATTTGCTTAGGATTTTGTTGGGTAGATTCTAACCTGTGAGTGTGTGGAGCCACTGGGATATAGATGTTAAGAAATGACGGTATTTGCAAACTGACGCCCTCCCCTAAGCTTGTACCAATACATGCCAGTAAAAAACAACCCAAGCTGACAGAGCTGCTTGCTTTTCCTGATTCTAAGAGAACAACGACCATTTACACCCCACTCCTCCAATCCCACCTCGGGGTCTTACTTGTACCCCCAGCTCAGTGATAAAGTTGGGGTTCAGTGGCAACTCGCTCTGCCTAAGTAAATCTTAGAAGGCTGTGAAGATAGAGAAGACAGGCACCTGAGACTGGGATAAAAATGTCTGGCCTATTTGATAAGCCTGTGGATCTTGGGAAGAGCCGGGAAGGTCTTTTAGAGAGGGTGCTGGGATGCTAGGTAGCCACTGGAACATACACTGAAAACCAAACACCAAAAGGCACCCCATTGCTTCCCCAACACCTGTCCATACTCTGCAGACTACACAGATCAGCATTCCCTGGGGTAGTGGCTAGAAGTAGATTTCCACATCCAAGCCCAAGGGTCAGATCCGGGAATGGAGCAGCATGTACACACACACACACACACACACACACACACCTAAAAGTTTAACAACACAATCTTATTCCAAGTCCATGAGACACACTCTATGATCTAGCACAATTTACATTTTCATTTTAAAAAAAAGCCAGTCGTGATCCATTAAACTGAATTTATGATCCCTAGGGAGGAAGGTGTTTCCAATACTAAAAGTCATTCCTCCAGTTCTCCAGATACCAACTGGCCACCTGCCAATTTGATTCCATTCTGATGCTAATTACCTGGAGCTCTGTCCCACAGGGCCACACCACTATGCCAGTTCCAAGTCTCAGCCCATCAGCACTTCTGAGCAACCAGCTATAAACAGACGCTCCCAGGCACAGGGTTCAGAGCGTCCTTCCAAAGTGAAGCCGATCAGCGAGCAGCACCCTTCTCCAGGCTAGGAGGATGGTGGCTCAGTCCTGACGCTGGGCGTCTCCTAGGGAGGGCAGGCCCCAGGGCACCTCCCTCCTTCCTCATTTTGGGCAGTGACACTCACTTTGAGCAGTCCCCTTGTCCAGACTTGTACTGAATCCAGTGAGGGGCAGAGCAGAGTGGCTGGCAGTCAGGTACAGTCATCCTCCTGTCACCCAGGTTAAAAGCCCCAACACCTCGCAGTCCCCCCAACCCCATTCCCCAGTTTGCTGTGACTGCCCGAACTTCTAGCCTGGCACGTAGGGCCTGGAGGCCACAGTGGCCCCTAAGTGGCCCCTGCTCTCCCTTCTTTCAGTGCCACTGCTGCTGTGGCCACACTGCTCTGCTGTGGGCCATCTGACCAGGGGCGGCAGCACGGTTCCCAGCACCTGTGAAAGGAAGCCCCTGCAGCTCCAGGCGCAGACACTGAGGCCTTCCAGTCATCTTGCGGCTCTTATGTCCTGAGGCTGCTGCAGTTTCCCATGCCAGATCTTTCCCACGAAGTCTGCCCTGGCTAAAATTCCACATATGAGGGCAGAGGCTGTTGGGGGCACCATGCACCCCACTGGCCATGGTCTAAGTACAGTTTGCTCTGTGTGCAGGAGCAACTGGGGCTCAGGAGTCAGAACACTGGGTTCACATGTAGCTCAGCCTGGTCATTTCTGGGTCATTCCTGGTCATTCCAGCTGCTCTGCTGAGGTCTTCCACACAATGCTGGGGGTGGGATTCTTAGCCTGGCATGACCGGGACAGGGGGTGGGAAGAACACAGAGGCAGTGTGCAGCTCACAGCCTGATGCCCGGTCAGTGGGAGCTCGTCATGGTACCCCTGCCAGCACCATCTTTCCTCAGCATCCTACTGCCCAGCCTCTTCTGCAGCTCTGCTCCCGAGGGTGGGCACCTGGCCCCTCAGGCTCATCTTGGCACAGACAGCCAAGGGGCACAGGGGCAGAAGCTGTTAGTCTCAACTTCCATCCTGAGTACTCATACCTGGCCATCGGGCCAGGGGTCCTGAGGGGTGGGAGTGCGGGTTGCAGGCTGAGCTTGGGCTTCAGCAGAGGTGGCTTGGAATCACGGACCCTGGTGCATCGTTTTCAACCTCTGCTCTTGACAAGGGTTTTTGACTTATGGCACCAAAAGATATTTTTAAATTCTTGTTGATCTGAAACCAGTCTGAATGAACGGAACAGTCTGGTGTGGTTACCAGATGCCTGCTCCACCCAGAAGCTGCTTAATAATCACAAGTTCCCACCTTAGAAGGGGCACTAGCCTTTTCTGCTGATGCCCCTACAAGAGGTTCCTTCTATAACCCCTGCCACGGGACTGGGTCAGGCTCACCTACTATGCCAAGCTGTGCTTGGTGTGGTGACAGAGAGATGGGAGCCGGCCATCAGGCCAGAAGGGCAAGTGTTGGTGAGGGAGGGGCTCTTACCAGCCAGTCCATGCAAGTGTCAGAATTAACACTTCTGCTTGGTATTATCAGGGCACCCTTCCCTCGAGGATTCCTTTTTGAGCCCCCCACCTTACCCCGTATGCACCCACGCTTGCCCTGGATGTCTGTGGCAGCAGGTGGGCACTGTACTGCTTGTCCTTTAACGCAGGGAAGGGAAGACCCTCTGCAAGCCTCCTGCAGGGCTGGGCTACTCACCTACTGACACAGTAGAATGCGATCAGTTTGAAGATGTCCTCAAACACAAGCACTGAGCCTTCCAGGTACAATACTGGGGAGAGAGGAGAAAGGCCCTGGGTGAGAATCCTCCAGAGACAGGCAGGCAGGGAGAGAGGCGGTGCTCCCTGAGGGCTGAAGTCGTGGTGGTGTCTGCCACGCTCAGTGTGGGTCCTGGTTTTGCTGATTTTGTTCACTCACGTGGCCGCATACATACCAGCTGCCACCTGGACCTTGAGAAGTGAGAAGTGGACTCTGAGGGTGTCCCGGGGATTACCTGTTTTAACTGGTATTAATTCACACACACTCATCACTTTTGGAAAAATGAGGTGGAGGATTTTAGAGCCTAGGAAGAGCAATAAGCATGCATTTGTGCAGCTGTGAGGAGCCCGTGCGCCTCATTAACACACCAAGCACTGATTTCAACAGCTAACATGATGCTTTAAAAAGCTTGCATTCAGCAAAGAGATTGTAGTGTCCCATTGGGTTGAATACAAAACTTTATAACAGATTTCAAGAAGAATATTAACTAGAGTACAGTGCAAGAAGTATTTGGAGCCTACAAATGACCTCAGGCAGAGAAACTCAATCCATGGTGTGTGGTGGGGACAGGTACAGGTGGCCTGGGGTAGCCCAGCGTCACCTTGTGCCTCCATTTGGTGGCATCACCAGCCCGCTACACAAGGGGCAGCACAGACAGTGGCTGAGGAAAGCTGGGGCCCAAAGACCCCCATAGCAGTGAGAGGCACAGAGGATGCTTCGTGTGCAAAATAGTTTAAGAAAGATCTTCCTTGGGGATTCCTCCAGGGGGATTGGGAGGAATGTACACTTTAAAAAGCCCAGACCTCCTTACTGGGATACCCCACAATTAGCAGCTCCCCCTGGCCACCCGGAACACAGAAGGAAACTTAAAGTCAGTCATCCCTCCCCGCTCCCACCTTGCCCTCCTTCCATCTCTTTCTAAACCAGCCCTGCCTCCTGGTTAGACAGTTTTTCTGGCCCTCTGCCTGCTGCATTAGACATAAACAAGCAATCCCAGGTCTTACAGCACAGGCTGTAGCACAGTTCTACACAGAAAAGTTCAATCATCATTTTTGTGTTTTGTTTTTTTTTGAGACAGGGTCTCCCTATGCAGTTCAGTCTGGCATTGAATTCACTTTGTAGGCTAGGCTGCCCTCAAACTTGCAGCAGTCCTCCTGCCTCAGCCTCTTGAGGCATGTACCACCACACCTGGCTTGCAAATTTTTTTCTCACTCCATGTTTTTCTCTTAACTCTCAATTGATTCTTTTGTTGTGTAGACGCTTTTGAGTCTGATACGATCCCACCTCTTAATTCTTGCTATTTTTTTGTGCAACTGAAGTTCTGTTTACCTGTCTTCAAGTGTTTTACCTATTTTATCTTCCAGTAGATTCAATGTTTCTTTTTTAATGTTTAGATCTTCAATCCATTTTGATTTTAATTATATATGGTGACAGTCAAGGGTCCAGTTTCAATCTTCTGCACACAGATAACAGTTTTCCCAACATTATGTGTTAAATGAGCCATCTATCCTCCAACGCACACTTCTGGCCCATTTGTTTTAGATCAGAGAACTGAATGTGCCTGGAAAAGTTTCCAAATCCAAAGCAATTCTATTGCTTTCATGCACATAACTGTTTTTGTTCTAGTACCATGCAGTTTTTATCACTATTACTTTGTAGTATAGTTTGAAGTCAGATATTGTTACACTTCCTGCTTTGCTCTTGTTGCCCAAAACTGCTTTTGCTCCCTTGGGTCTCTTATGGTCCCATATGAATTGTAGGATTGTTTTCTCTATTTCTGTCAAGTATGCTGTTGGTATTTTCATAAGATTTGCACTGAATCACCTTCTTACTGTACAATCATGGGTTTTTAGGATCACATCGGACCTCGTCTCTCCAGCTCTAGCCCCTGCCACCCACCCTCCTCCACCCTGAAGATACAAACACACCCTCCACATCAAGGTCACGTCTGAAGGAACATCTGCTTATGGTGTTTGGGGGGTTTTGTCCATCTTTGGGTCTCCCTCAAACCTGGTGCAGTGCATGGCACACTGTCTAGGAAATTGATAACTGTTTACAAAAGTCTACTAGGGTTGTGGGGACACCTAGAGGCCTTGAGGGTACCTGGCCAGGGTTTCAGACCTCCCAAATGTGGCTTATGGGCCTTCCCTTAGGGGTCAAAGGAACACCTTGGACTTCTGCAGGAGCCCAGACAGACAGCTTGCCCTGAGGCAAATGCATGCTGTGAGCCACCTACAGTCCTTTGTTCCCATAGGAGATGGGCTTGGCTTCCAGGACTGCCTATGTCCTGTGCTATGCCAGTGGGTGGCTTGTGTGTAAGGCTCCTGGGATCCTAACCAAGTGTGTGCATGTCTCCTGAAGGCTGTTGCTTCTCCTCTGTGCCTCAGTTTGTGAAGCTCTAAAAACCACAAGAATCAAATGCCTGGCCCTGGGATATAGCTCCAGTGACACAGAGTCTGCCTGGCAACCATGAGGCCATGAGTTCAACCCTGCTACAAAAAAAAAAAAAAAAAAAAAAAAATCAAACGCAGCCTGTTGAGGGTAGGATTGGGCTGCTGTCCCAACCCCTGGTGCTTGTGAAGGTGACCTCATTTAAAAACAGAATCTGCAGATGTAACCAAGTTGAAATGCTGGTCTAGTGTGGCCTTCAAGTCAATGACTGGTATCTTTCTATAAGAAGGCTGTGTGGGGATGAGGGACAGAAAGGGAAGGACATGTGAGGACAGAGGCAGGCATGGAGTGATGGAGCGCCAAGGATGCACAGTGAGCACAGGAAGGCCAGGGAGCTCTGGAATGGGTCTGCCAGGGCCTCCGGAGGATCCACCCCATTACACCTTGATTCCAGATGGCTGGGCTCCAGAATTTGAGAGCATACACGCATATTGCTATAATCCTTCGTTACAGGGCAGTCCAATCAAGGTTAGTATTAATAGACCTCAACTGTTAGTGAGAAAGACCACTGGATGTAGGCTGCCGCGCAAGGGCTTCAAGGCATCAGGTGGCCTGGGTATGGTGCACGCAGGGACACGCAGTCCCTCTGCTGGACCCTTCTCCCTTCCCTCCCTCTGTCCTGCAGCCCCTGCGCCCTTTCACTTATTGGTTCCTGCTGTTTCTCCCTACAGAGTTAGTTCCTCTCAGTCCTTCTCCACCCTCAGGGCTCAGCTCTTCTCTCTGCCCTCAAGAATCAGCTCTCACCCCACCTTTGCCCAGAAGCCTTTGTTTCCCAGATTCTGACCTTTTTGGGAAGCGCATACCCTGCGTCTTGTCCAAGCCACTGATTCTTGTGGAGCATGTGAAGCATGGTCTACAGGTTGCAATGTTGGAAAGTGGCAGAGAACCTGACAGCACACGTCTTGGTGTCCCCTCCCTTGTGAGGAATCCAGCACTGAGCCAGGCTCATGGTATGGCCTGCAGAAGACAGCGGGGCAGGACACGGAGGTGGCCAAATCCAGCGACAGAGAGGCTGCAGGTTGCTTAGGGCTGGGAGGGGCATGCAGAGTGACAGCTGCAGGGTTTTTTTTTTCATGGCAAATTAAAATTTAGCATTTTAACCATCTCTAAGCATGCAGTTCAGTGGCATGAGAACACCCATACCATTAAGCAATGTGAAATTTCCCTTCTGGAGTGACCAAAATGCTTTTAAGTGGGCTGTGGTGATGGTTGCACAACTCTGAGTACACTAAAAGCCACTGAATTATATGACTTAAATGGATAAATCATATGATATTAAACACATTAAACAAATACACCAGAATCGTGCTATTATTTTCAAAAAATGTGATTTTTATAATAAGCATATAAAATTTCTGTAAGAAAAGATTCTGTAAGAAAAGGTGAAGTTTGTCTCCAAAAGTGGCCAGTGTCCATTGTCCTCGCAGGAGGTGTTCACATGGTGAGCAAGTCCCCACCCCATGCCGCCTGCTGCCAGGAGGACAGAGATGTCAAGCCTGGGGCACAGAGCCCTCCTGCCTGCTCTCCCAGCAGAGGGGCCAGCTTCAGACTGGCATGTTTGACTTCTCCCTCATGGAAAGCCTTAATGGGGACACGCCAGCTTCCCCCTAAACCGTGTCTAAGGTGAGCTGCTGGCACACTCCAAGGTGTTGACAGGTGACAACAGTCAGACTTCCACTCTGAGGGAAGGAAACTTCTTCCTTTGTGACTTCACCATCAAGGCTGAGCTAGGGACAGGCCAGCCATGCTCCTGGGAATGACAGTCCCAGCATCAAAATGGAACATGCAAGAAAAACTGAAAGCTATTAGAAGGTGGTTTGGTTCTGTTTTTTAAATAAATTCTGTCTTGTCACTCAGTAATAAAAAGCAGCTGGAACTGGTGAGGCACACTTGTAGTCCCAGCACTCTGCGAGGCTGAGGCTGGAGGATCATGAGTTTGTGCTCAGCAATAAAATAATTTAAAGGGGCAGGGGATGGAGCTGAGTGCAAAGACCCTCAGTGGCCACACCCCCCACCCTCCCAGTAATGCAAAGGACAGAGACTACGTGCATCTTCCCTTTTTCCTCCACAGGACCTCCAGCTCCTAGCACTGTGCTCAGCATGCTGCCGGCTCTTAAATATTTATATATGTACTTGTTTATTGATAAAGTTTGAAACACTTAGGCTCTCAGGAAGTTGCAAAGCAAAACAGGGAAGTCTAGCACCTTTCTTCCAGCACCCCCCCCCCGCCAACGCATCGTGCATAATTAGAGCACAGTGTCAAAACCAGGAAACTGATGGTGCAATCCTGAGCTACTCAGATGTCTCCAGTTTTGCCTGCATGTATGCGTGTGTGTGCATGTGTGCGTGTGTGTGTGGGAGGGTGTGTGTTTAGAACTATGTAGCTTTATCGCATTGGTGGCTTCATGTAGTTACCATCCTAAGCAAGATACGTTACAGTTGGGGTTGGGGATTTAGCTCAGCGGCATAAGCGCCTGCCTTGCAAGCAGGCAGTCGTGAGTTCGATCCCTGGTACTGATAAAAAGGAAAAAGACAAAAAACAAAACAAACAAACAAAAAAGA